TTTTAAAAGTAATTTTTAAATTTTCACTCCAATAAAAATTTAAATTTATGAAACATAAATAGTATCAAAAAAATTTAAATACTTACAAGTCTCACCAAACATGCTCTAAAATTAAAATAATATGAAGTTAATCTTAATCTCAAGCTTTTGAATTTGACGGTCTAAAATCCAGATTAATCCCATATTTTCCAAGGCATAATAATTCAAAATGGACAGTTTATTTTCCATGTTCAAAGATTGAAATTTCAAGTGGGACCTATTCTGCTTTTTGGTTTCTTTCCCATTTTTCTTTATATGATCCTCAGACATATAGTCACTTATTGCTTCTCTCCAAAATCATTCCCCTAACTATTCTTCTCCGAAAATGAAAGGAATGGATATTTTCTGTGCTTCTCCGGCCTCCACAGCCATATGCTCCAGCATCGACCACCGTACTATAGTCCGTCACAGCCACAACCGACATCCCATCAGCCGCTCGAATCCCAAGCCTTACATCCCCTGTTCTTCTTCACAGTTTCCGGTACTTCCTCAACCATATAATAACCATGAAAAGAGCAGAAAGAGTAGTTCTGCTAAGCAAAGTGATTTGCGTCGAAAAAGCTCTGCTGATATTGATGATTTGATCAGAAGCCCTCATGACTCATCTAGATATCTCCTCACTGACAGACCCTTTATTGATTGGTTATCGGAGAAGACATCCGATACTGGCTCCGCATTGGTTCCTGCTCAACCGGCTGCGAAGCCTAAGCCTAGGCCCATAAGCTCAAATGATTCCCTGGTTTTGAAGTCTTCCCCTACCCGATCCCGGGACCAGGTAATTAGAACAATATATATCTCTCCGAATCTACTAATTTTAGAACTTTCATTTTGCGAAGACACAATTTTTTTTTTTAAGAATTCACCATTTTATATCCATACAGAATATCATGTATATTTCGAAAATTGCAGGTAGTGGTTTTGTGGGTATCAATCCACTGCAAGGGATGTGAAGGAAAAGTGAGAAAACATATCTCAAGGATGGAAGGTGAAGAGCTTTCTCAATTCCCACACTAAATACTTCACACAATTGTCTAAAATTTTCACATATATTTTGTATGAACTCAAAATTACTTTATAATATATTTAGTTTGAAGGAAATATAAGAAATAGGAGGAAAGGGATCAAACATACTGTTAATGAGTTTTTTTTTTTTGGTCGTTAACTAATCCTACTTATTACTCAATTATAAGTTGTTCCATATCTTAAGCCATATAAATTCTGCATATTTTGTGCAGGAGTGACATCATTCAGTATAGATTTAGCATCAAAGAAAGTAACGGTTGTCGGAGATGTGACGCCATTAGGAGTCCTAGCAAGCATTTCCAGGGTGAAGAACGCACAACTTTGGCCGTCGTCAACACCAACACCAACCCCAACACCGTCATCAGCACCAGCTTCTCCGGCAGTGAACATAATCCGTTACTAGATAATTGGCGTCTTTTTAATGTACTCTTCATCTTATTGTGAGTTCAAATATGGGTATGTTAGACACTCATGATCTAGTATGTACCTTTTTGTTATATATATATATTTTTTTTATCTTGGTTGTACAATATGAAATAACTATCTCTTTCTTATTTTATCCTATTCATATGTTATATGATTTGAACTCAAAACTTCTTATTTCAAACAAAAAGAGATGATCACTGAATTATTTAAGTCGTTGACTGTTTTATATATTTTTGAAAAGGTTATATATCATAATATCTTTATATATAAATATATACATATAATGAGATAATTTTCTTTGGTCCTTTATTTATCACCAACACATTATATGATTTTCAATTCAAAAACTTTTAATTTTACTTAATAACATACTAAATCACTTAAGTTGTTCACAATTTTGACTTCTATTTGTTGTGAAGGAAAGTGAAAAAGGAAATGAATCATTTCCTTGGAATAAACAACATGGTATTATCAAAATATAATATTACATCTTTACTGTCTCTGCCCTCCCATCTCAGGGTATATCTACTTAAGATTACATTTTTTTCTTTCTTTGTTTGTTTAGTTCATCCCAGGAAATTTAGTATTTGTTATTCTGACAGGTTTCTGTGGCATTCGAGCGCAATAGTACTGCTTCCATGAGAAATAATTCCCTTCAAAAGCTTTACGTACATATAATATAAACATAGCTTATTAGAAACTCAATAATCAGACTACGCATCGATTTCCCTGGATCTTAATCAGTGACCGAGTAAAATGTACAGTTGGTGAGGTTGTGAGAACAGAACTTCGTTACTTTTAACTATGACATGTATATGCAATAAAGATGTGGTCTCAACACCTAAGCAATAGAAATGAATTGTTTTATCAACTATCACTATCACCTGGTTCGATAATAATATCTATATAACTAAATCAATTACACTTATAATATTTATGTGACATTAATAATTATTTGTATGACAAAATCATGGATCATGTGTATATTCAAGTACCCAACAAAAATGTGTTTTGAATTTTGGATTGACCAAAAAAACAACAATTCAGTCTGAAAAAATCATGA